TAGGTTCGAGGAATACTGTAATTTTTAAGAATACTTATCAAAACAATTAACTTTCAAAATACAAAACAAATAACTTTTCAAAGAAAGCCTAAGTATGTCTCATTTAAGTAAAGGAAGAAAATGGCAAATATATTTTGTTATTTATTCTATTGTTTATATATGTCATTTTATATAAAGTATAGAAAACTGCTCACCACAGAGGCTTTAACAAACATGTATTAATATGCTATTTATTCTTTCACTCAGTGCTTCCTTTCACCTAGCCTTAATAATATATGTGTACATTTTTAGCTGTAGTTTGAAATACTATAAAGCAGAAAAGATATTAGAAAGCAGACTATGAGCTGAAAGGGCTATATTCATGATTGGATTAATTTACATCTGTCACAAATATGTAATGTATAAATGATACCCCAGAGGTGTTTTGTATGTACTAAGAAAGCAGTGATCCAACCTGGGCACAAACATCAGTCCCATCTGGCATTGCACCGGTATTTTTCCCTGGCCTTAGCCATGGAAAGTTGCTGGGAATTTTTCAGATATCCCATGGCACTCTCTGGTGGTTGGTGTCACAGGCTCCTTTCTATGGCAATGCTGGACAAAACGTGCAAATGAGGAATTGTTCCATCATTTTCATCACTGGCTGTCTCAAGCTGCTTCAAATGAACATCTGTTGTGCACTTTTATCTTTCTAGGGTGCCACAGTTTGTTTAAGGAATGATAAACACATAGGGCAGTGTTGCCTACAGGAGAATGAAGGCTGGCCCAGTGAAAGAAGCAGGAAGTTTTGTAACGCTGTCCTGAGAATGAGCTGGCTTGTAAGGTCATGACTGGGAGCTCTGTGCAAGGACTGGTGGCTGCATGTGGCCAAAGGACTACAAGTAGGATGTTCTGGTGGGGTCAGCAGAAGAGAAAGTGCAGTTTTCTTACTGTCCTAGCCCAAACTGTTTATTGCAGAGGTAGGAGGGGTTGGTCTTGTGCCTTTTGTGCCTTCAGGAGAATAAAAACTGATTGCTGGATGAATAGCAAAAAGGTGAAAGTAGCATAATCACACCAAAAGATATGACCTAAGTCAAGTACCTGAAACATCAGGCTTTGTACAGTAAAAAAAATAAAAACCTGTCTGCAGGCAGTGGCAGACTGGCATTGAAATATGGCCTATTTATGCTTTGGCTTATGGAAGTTAACCACTTGTTCATTCTACAGAGCACCTCAGGAAGACCACCAGCTTTCCCTGGCCCCTAGATTGGGGCTGCCACTGTGCCAGGCTTTGGTGGAGTTTGAAAACGGGAATTGTGACAAAGCTGTAGACCTGCTGTACCCAATCCGTTATGAACTAGTCCAAGTGGGAGGCAGTGATGCTCAGGTAAAGGAGATCCAGAAAAGACTTTTTGATGTGACTTAATCCTCTTTCAGTAGCCCCCATTAAGCGCTTAACTCATCAACAGCAATTCAGTCTTTGTGAAGTGCTGAACTGTGCTTGTGACTGAATCCAGTTTGCAAACACTTACTAGCAGGGTTAGATATTTATTTTTAATGTTTATATGTTTCCTTCCTTGAATTTAATAGTTTGGTAACCAAGATATTGGAATCAGCAATACATTATAAATTACTTAGTAGTTTTTATTTTGCTGATATTTTTTCCAGAGAGATGTTTTTAGCCTGTTGTTGATCCATGCTGCTTTAAATTCTAAATCAAAGGCCAAACGAAACTTTGCAAGGTGAGTATTTCCCCTGATAAATATTTGTGGAAGTAGCACTGTTGCTAAAAGTAAGAAGTAATGAATATATTCAAACCAGTAAATTTAAGGCTAAAATTATATGCAAGCATTTGTGTTAAATGTAGCAACATTTAACCAGGATAAAGAAGTACAATAGCTTCCAATTCCAAAAGTCCGCTCTTGCAGCCTGGATGGATGATCTGTGTAAGTTCCAGGGCAGTTGATTTTCAAATGTTTCTGTCTTCAAATACGTTTTGAATACAAAATCCTGTTGACCATGTTTTGTGAATTGCTGCAACTCCAGTCAGTGCCACTGCTGACATCTGCTTTGCTGGGAAGTCAGAGGTGTGCTCTGCCATGTGGGCTTGCCTCAGCACAGCCTGTTTGGCAGAACAGTCCATCTTTACCATGTGCTCCTCACCCTCCTACTTCTCCTTTCACAGGTATCTCCTGCATGAACGTGATATGATGAGACCAAAGTCACCAATGACTGAGCGACTGATCCGGAAGGCAGCAGCCTTGCATTCCATGGCGTAAGGCTTTCCTCCAGCTTCAGCTCGAAGAGCCAGGACCTTTCCACTATGTCTGGGTGCAGGGAGTGCAGGGGTGCTCTGAAGGAACTTGGGGAGGTATTTGGGGTTAAAAGATCTGAGAGTAATTTCTGTAAGAAAGGACAGAGCTGTTGCATTTTTGAGGGTTGTTTCTTAGATGATTCCACCAGGAAAGAAGAAAACTTGCTGAGAATGCACAGCTTTCTGGAGCATCCCAAAGGCGCTACTGCTCTGGTATGTTTTCCTGAATGTTCCCTCTGACCCTGATTATACACAGTGCAGTAACAGTGCCTGGATTTCAGTCCTTCTTTGGCCCAGTTTGTTACTTGGCCTACATGTGAAGTAAACGGCTCAGGTAATTAAAAGGGAGCTTTTAAATAAAGCTATTAGGAAGGTGGGCCAAAGTCAATACAGGCATGAACTGAATTCCATGTGAAGCTTCCAGCCCATTCAGGCAGGAGTCAGGGGCCTCTGGATTCAGGATCTCTTTCCAAGTATACATTTTTTAACTCCCTTTCATAAAATGTTACATTTTTCCTTTCACTATAGCACAGCAGAGCTTTCTGGCTTTACTGAGTCAATGAAACCAGACAAGAACCAGTCAAGAATAATGACTATTCTGACATGGGTGCTCCCTCAGCACTTCTAAATCCTTCAGGAAAAAGAGAAAAGCCTGGATTTCAGCTGAACAGTACCATTTCTGAAGGGTAGGGGAATGAGTCTTGGTGCTTCTCTGAGATTTTGGATAGTCAGGCCTTAATACCATCTCACTCCAGGGAGTCCCTGCATGTTGGCAAAGTGGGGTTTAAACTAAAGTTAAAGCACACAATTCAGAGAGGTGAAGACTAGGAGGGAACTTCTGCCATGAACAGAGGGCTCAGGGGGATGGACACAGCTCTGTCCCAGCTCATGTGATGGGATAAACTTTGGTGCTGCAAGTCAGGCATGATGTGAGCCACAGACCTCAAGGGACCTCTGGTGCCTCTGGATTCTTGCAGCATCTCAGAGCTAACACATTGTCTTGTAATAGTATTTCAGAAATCCCTACTGATGGGGAAGATAGCATTTCAGAGCAAAACTGAACTCATGCCTCCTCTTCTGGAACAGAAATCCCACACTGTGCAACTGCCCAAGCTCTGACTTTGCTTCCACATCTGCAGGCTCTCCTGGCCCCACAGGCCTGCCTCTTTCCTGTCCAGCTCAGGCTTTTCCTCATATCCCACAGCAGCCTTGTCCTAGTTTCCTTCTGACCTAAGAAAGCACTTCCATAGCTGGCCCTGCCCTTCCTCTGGAGTTCTTGCATTGTGGAACAAGAAGTGGAAGTGCTTTGCTGACATTTTACTTTACCCAGTCCTCCCAAGGCAGAAATAGCTTATTTTTAAAGCAGTAATAATGATTTATTATTACATAAGGGATTGCATTCCTTGCCTTCAGGTCCTCTGATTAATGAGTGTGCTGTTCTTCAGCTTCATCACTGCTTGTCTGTTCAGCCATGGTGGGGAGTGACTCACTTGGGACAAGTTACACTGGGTTTTTACTATTATTTTTAATAAGTGCACTTCAAGCAATGACTTTAGACAGGTTAACTTTTTACTCAAGGAATTTAACAAATTGTGTAAGGGAACAAAAGCCTGAGAAATCTCTGGCTGGCTACGCAGGATGTAACCATTCTAATCCATGACAGTATTTTCAATAGAACATGACTGAGAATTTTGTCTGCTTTGCCTTAATAAACTCAAATACAATCTTTGTTGAGCAAGCAAGTACATGACTTACTTGCATGTGTGAAGCTTTTAAATGTGTTATTCTGACTAATTTCATAGAGGTTTGTACCCACTTTGTTTCTGTCATAGTGGCCAGAAGCATCCAGCAGTGGAGAGCAGCAGTATCTGTGCTCACACAGCCCAAGCATGGCACAGCCTCCCAGTTGTTTTCCTTGGTGCCACTGTCTTGGTAACCAGTTAGGAAGAAGCTGAGGTGCCAGTAGGTGGGAGAACCATTGTTTATTTTCCATCCTCCTGCATTCAGAGTATGCATTTTCCAGCTTTTCTCCCCCTGCAGCTCAGTTATCCAAACTGCAGCTCTAACCTCCAGTCCACCCCTCTCATGGAAAAGCCAAGGCCTTGTGCATCAGAGAGCACCCAGGGTGGTTTGGACCATGGAACAGCTCTGTACTGCTGTGTCCTTACTCTGTGTGTGGTGATCTGGACTGATCCTAAGCTGTCAGCATCCCACTAACACCCTCGTCATACAAACCTGCCTTGTGCCTCACAGGTGTGGGGGTTCCTACAGGTGTCTGACTCAGATTCTTTAAAAGTTACTCATCTGCATATTAAAGAGGTTCATCCTTAGAACGTCTCAGTATCTTACTACTACTTTGAGATTTAAAATCAGCTGTTCTGCTACTACCTCACTTAATTCTTTCATCTCTTCTTAGGACTTCAGTAACTGCTCAGAGCAGCTGTTTAGTTACATGAAATCTAACCAAACTACCCCACTGCTTTAATATTAAACATCTCCTAGTTAAGAAGTTACAGGACTGTTCTCCCTGAATCATGCTATTCTCTCCTTAGTAATTAGCTGAGCACCTACCCTACAATGGTAGTCCATGTGTGCAGTTCCCTGATTTATAAATACTGAAGGAAGACACAGAACACAGGCAGGGGCTGGTTCACTCAGCATGTTAAGACTTGCCACGTTTATAAAAAGACAAATTGCACACTAAAAGTGCCTGAAAACAGGTTTTATTTGCAAGTACAACAAGCTTAGTAATTCAGGAACTCAACAGGCAAAGAAGAGAAAGAGAGGTATTACAAAGTCTTAAAATCTTCCCCGCATGTTTTCATTTAGTTCTAAGTAGTTTTAATAAGATTTTCTGGATTTATCTTTTCTGTTCTTGGAAAGAAAGCGCTATCTTTGAGTGGTTGACATATTTGTATTACATATGCAAAAACCTTAGATGCTGTTGATGTTTCTGTAAAGCTTATCTGAAGGTAAAAAATATGTTCCTCTGTCCTCACTCACAGTTTCACTCTGAACAGCTAAACAGCCTGAATATGGCATTTTGTACAGAGGGCCTTCAGTTTGATCCACTTACATCCAGTAACATCCAATAGAAACTGCACAGGTTTCTGACCCTGGATCACCCACACACAAAGAGGATCCTCGCTTGTCAGCACCCTGCCCCACGCAAGCGGGCAGCAGAACATGCAGATGGTACCTTAGGACAGCAGTTCTATCACTGGCCTTGAAAGAACCTAACTGGTCTCTTTCAGTCCCATTCTATGTCTGGAAAAACGAAAATTAATGCAAAAACAAGACAGAGTATCTCTATGCTCCTTAAGAAGTTTCTCCTGTCCTATTGCGCTACAGAGCTACATCCACTGGAAAGCCTGGCTTGTTGGGACACAGCCTTTGTGTCCTTACAGACATTAGTTGCAGCCGAACCACCAAATTTTGGTGTCTGCTTACTCACATGTGGTGGCTTTCAGTTTCAGTTGAGCTCTGCTTTTGTATAGGTTACAGCAAGTTACTGCAAATTTCCACAAAGAATCTGATTCAACAACTTTCTGTTCCATCTGCCATTGTACAGATGAAAATTATCGAGGACTAACAATATGGATTTAAAATATGCTTTTTCTTTTTTGTTTACCGTTTTAACTCGAAACATGTACCAGCATTAACAAGCAGTGCTTTGAAAACAAACTCAAGTCATTACCTACACTGAATTGTTTATAATAATGATAGATGAGAGGATCAAGAACAGATGAATTTTGCACTAAAAAGAATCTCTGGCTACTAAAAACCAGAAAGCTTCCTTAAAAACTACTGTACTGTTAATTTTTCTTTTAACTGTTTGCGAAAAGAAATTCTATTTTTTTAGACTATGCATTTATAATTATTTGCCCACAGCAGTCATAACATTCAATTTCCCATTCCACAATTCTGATTTTCCTTCAAAGTTTACTGAAATGTCTATGCTTCATTTAAGAGGAAGAGAAGAAAGGCACTTGCAACGAACGTAACATCTGCTTTGCCAGCCCTCCTCAATGCAAAATTTGTTTGGATTAACATCCCAAAGAACTGTACTAAAAAGAAAGAAGAGGGATACAAACTGCCATGTACCTCTAAGATATAACACATTTTCTTCTCTCCTCTTTACACTCTTTTATTCCCTCCACTCTATATGTTCTTATTCCTGCTTCTTTCTGCTCTCTGATTCCTGCCTCTTTCTGCTGTCTTATTCCCACCTCTCCATAAGCTGTTATTCCTGCCTCTTTCTGCTGTCTTATTCCCACCTCTCCATATGCTCTTATTCCTGCCTCTCTGTATGGTCTTATTCCTGCCTCTTTCTGCTGTCTTATTCCCACCTCTCCATATGTTCTTATTCCTGCCTCTCTGTATGGTCTTATTCCTGCCTCTTTCTGCTGTCTTATTCCCACCTCTCCATATGTTCTTATTCCTGCCTCTTTGTATGGTCTTATTCCTGCCTCTTTCTGCTCTCTTATTCCCACCTCTCCATACGCTCTTATTCTTGCCTCTTTGTATGTTCTTATTCCTGGCTCTTCCTGCTCTCTTATTCCCGCCTCTCTGTATGCTCTTATTCCCACCTCATTCTGCTCTCTTATTCTCTCCTCTTTATACTCTATTATGTACTCTGGGTAAATCTGGTGTTTTTCAAAGACAACAAAAACAGAAGGATTTAACTCATCATCCACACAGCTGTCATAAAACCACATCTTGTCAGCACACTTCTCTGGGGGACGGACATAGGTTGCGTTGCCTTTAACGTAGTCTCCAACCAGAACGCGAGCCACAAACATCATGTGTCCCTGTGGCGTAGCCTGACAGTAGGTGTGGGAATAGCGAGCATCTCTAGCAAAGTAACTTCCTAGAAAATGAGATGAAAATGTGGTTGTGAGGAGAATCTATACAGTGACAGCAAAATCTGAGCATCCCCTGGGTTTTCAGGAGGTATCTGACTCAACTTTCAGGAATTCTCTTACTCAGTTTACAGAATACCACAGAAATTTTTGCAAGGAAGGGGACTGCACTATGCAATTTCCATTCAGTATTTGCAATTTTAGGAGTAATTTTTTATAAGCTATATCAATAAGCACACTGCAGGTCTGTGTGTTATAATGAGAGGAACAGACAAGAAAACATGAAGACCTTCCACAATCACACTGAGGGCATGCAAACCCCTCTGCTCCCTGCCATACAAATTAATTTCTCTTGTAAATTGAGATTATGACCTCAGACATCAGAAAATGCCTTCTACACCAAACCCCTGCAGTAATGCACTTCACACTTCGTGAGAAGACTTACTCCCAACCCAAAGCTAATCCTGGCCCTCTTAAGAAGGACCATAATAACAATTCGTATCTTTTTTTTCACCTTCTGTAGTTAAAGACTTCAGAACTTGGATTGCTCCACTATCAGGGGAGTTTCAGCAGACATCTCACTTTCTACATACCCTTCCCATAGTTAGTTCCATTGCTTCCACAAATTCTCCAGTCAAAGTTCTGAGTGCAGATCGTTTTCATGGAGGTGACATCAGTTCCGTGGAACAGGAGTTTTTCCTGGACTTCCTTTCCTCCATTTTCCCTTTTCATCTTCTCTTTTTGCCTGATAAAAATGAAGGGGAGGAGACTGTGAGCCATGGAAGAAAAGGGGAAAAGAGGTTTTTTAAACAATTCAAACAACTATGTGACATCCATGTAAATGTCAGCTGGATGAAGTTTCCAGCCTACTCTCTCCTCTCAGAAGATGAGACACACTAGCAGCATGATGAACAAGTACGAGATGAGCACTGTACTGACACCACTGCTCAGCAATTCTAGGTAATTCTGGCTTTACTCAGGAATTTAGGCATTTGACACTATTCTAGTTGCCACTGTACCAACCTTTCACTCCTCTGTAGGGCCCTACTGGTTGGGCTTTAAGATATCTTGTCCCTTCCCACCCAAGCTCTCAATGGAGTGGAGACAGCATTAACCACAGAGTCTCTGTGCTTCCACAGTGGTTCAAAGCTTGTGCTCCATGCCACAGCCCCAGCTCCTGCCCCTGCGAGAGGTCAGTGATGCTGAGATGAGGCCAGGACACAAACCCAGCCTGCTTTGTTCACTGCTCACCTCACTGGTTGAGGCCTGAGTCAGACTGAGCTTTGAACAGGGTCAACAGAGAAATCACAACAAAAAGCTCAACTTGTATTTCCCATCATTATTCAACAGCATCCAACCACCTCTCAGGTTTTCAGAAGCTGCTGAAGTGGACAAGACAGTGATATTCTTCAGAAAGTCGTCAGCTATAAATTAAAGAGAGCCAGGGGGAGGAAAGAATCTTTCCAACTTGTAAATTAGTAAATGAAAAGTTAAGAGCAACGGACTGAAATGTCTTCAGTAAGAACTTACTGTGAAGGTGGTGAGGCCTGGCACAGGGTGCCCAGAGAAGCTGTGGCTGCCCCATCCCTGAAAGTGTTCCAGGCCAGGTTGGACAGGACTTGAGCAACCTGGGATTGTGGAAGATGTCCCTGTCCATGGCAGACTGGATGAGCTTTAAGGTCTCTTCCAACCCAAATTACTCCATCATCCTCTGGACTTGGCAATGTAAACTCTGCCTGCTTACCTTAATTACCTCATTGTAGAAGCATAAAAGGTATGCACTATTACATGTTTTGAAGTCTCTTATGTTTTGCTAGATTAAAAGGTTTTATGAAATCAGTAGCTGATAACTGAGTTCCATCATTTTGCAGGTGAAAGCACTTACTTGAACAGTATTTTTCTACTCCATTACCATTCCATACAGTCCTTGAACACTTACTCTTGTTTTAAACTAGACAATTGTTCTAAGCAACAGCTTAATCTTACATCAAACTAACTTGAACATGGTTGAGCCCCAGCTCTAATCTGCTGGTATCCAGCTTGGCCTAAGTACCCGGAGAGTTCAGTATCAATGATGCAGATGTTGAAAACCAGAAAGGAGCTCTGGAACTCGGGGATCATCAGGTTAAAAGAATTCTTTCTCGGTGAATACTGCCTTTGTTCAGCAAAGCACCTTAAATAAAATCTGACTGGAACAAAAAGGCCCATGCAGCCTTACTGTTTTTAGCATTTCATATACCCTAATGGATAAAGATTTGTAACAAACAAGAGGATGTGTGCAGCAGGCAGTTACTGCTCCATCCCCGAGACAACTGCTGTTCCACATCCCTGTGGGTATCCTCATCTCAGTTTTGCATCATGCATATCTTTCTCTCCATGCTCCTCTCTCCCTCTTCCAAGGAGCCATGCAAAGGGAACCTCCCCACAGAGCACTGGCATTTTGTGGGAGGCCTCACACACCATTCTCACTCCTGAAACTGCTAATAACGAAATACCAGTCATGTTAAGGCCAAGGTGGCAACCTCCTTTCTTTCCTAGAAAGCATATATGAGACAACCTGTTCTTGGAGACTGCCACCTCATAAGGATAGGGAAACAAGTACTAACCACTGAAACACCTTCCAGAGGGATGGATTCTGAATCCTCTGTATTTTAAGGATGCTGTAATTTTTCATAGTCTGATGAAACTGCTGCTTTATTCCATTGTATTCAGAGGTTGCATTGCTGATCACCACTGCCTATAAAATACAAACCAAAGCAAAAGAAGGCATGAGGCTGCAGTAAGCTCGGAAAACGCAGAAGCCCAGTTCCAGCAGATAAACTTTCAGAAGGATCCCCAAACTATGCTTATGAAGGGTAATTAAATGCTTTAGATCATGACTATGTGAATAACCAAATATCAAGTAAATCAGAATGTCACTCCTGCTTTGCAAGGACACCTCACCTCTCTTCAGGAAGGATGCTGAAAGGTTTATTATCTCCAAGACTTGACACTTGGAACTTTAAATATCAATGGAATAGAAATTGCAAAAAGAAAATCTGACAGATTATTCCAGATAGTGTCAGTTTTATATCTAAAGCAAATTAAGAACAAAAGATGTTAGATAACAGCATCATTTGTAACTAGACATTTACAAGAACTTCAGCTATTGCAGATGAAACAAACAAAACACAAACAACCTCCTGGCATTGTAGTGCCTTACCTTTTCAAAGTTAGAACTCAGAAAGCTTTGCTTAAGTATGGACTTCAGAAAAAAACCCCTACATTTCTAAACAAACATGACACTTAATACTTGCTTAAACAAATACATCTCCTTTTCCAAAAGAAACAAAGTCTATTTAGCCACTATCCTTTTATTTATTTAACCATACATTTTGTGTTTAAAAAAACATTAAGAAATGCTCATTTTTCCCAAAGAGAATTAAATGCAAAACATAATTAAAACATTACTTGAGCTCTTCTGCTTGCTTTTGTCATGCATAAATTTTCCATTTTTTTCTCCAAAGTAACTCATGTCTTTAATCTTCTAGAATCAACATTTATCTCTATAAACTGCAAAAGTGTGATTCTGGGAGGCTGATGTCACCTGGTAATACCTTCCACTTTATCAAAACTTAAGCCAAGTGGGGACTCAGGATAACAAAGTGAAATCCCAACATCCCACGTTCCAAAGTGTTTTAAGCAGGAAAGCTGTGGCCATCCTAAAAGGTAACAAGGAAACTAACATCTTACCTTACCAGGCAAAAAGTCCCTGTTTTAGAAGGCTGAGCTTAGAGAGAAATAAAATCGGATAAAACTTGTGTTTCACAGCTACATATAAGTACTTACTAATGAGGAGATCACTCACAGGGAAGTATTCTAAAGATTAAGAATAAAGTCAGCTGCACAAGAAAGAAATATTTCTTTGAATTATTTAAAAGCCTTTAAAAAGTTGAGTGAAATTTTCCATGTCTCAATACAGGAGCATTTTCCAAAGTTTTATAGCACATAAAACAATCAGGATGTGCAAGTACTGTCTACACACTCTGTGGCACCACAGCCCAAGCTGCTGTATATTTCAGTACTACATCTTTTATTTAGAATCACAACATGGTTTGGGTTGGAAGGGACCTTAAAACCCATGCAGTGCTACCTCCTGCCATGGGCAGGGACACATTCCACTATCCCAGCTTGCTCCAAGCCCCTTTCAACCCGGCCATGGACACTTCCAGGGATGGGGCAGCCACAGCCTCTCTGGCAACCTGTGCCAGGGCCTCCTCACTAGCCTCAGATGGAAGAATTTCTTCCAATTACCCAATCTAAACCTACTCTCTGTCAAGTTTGAAGCCACTCCCCCTTGCCCTGTCACTCCAGGCCTTTGTAAATCATCAGCTCGGCACAAGGGGGTCTCAGGGCATATCCAGCTCTCACCACCAGTATCCCCAAATCCTTCTCCCACGGCTGCTCCATCTGCTTATCTCCAGCCTGGATTGACCCCAGGAGTTGTCCTGGCCCAGGTGCAGCACTGGTACTTGCTGAACCTCATGGGATTCCCATGGAACACTTGAGTTTGTCCACATCCCTCTGGATGGCCCTGTCCTTCAGGTGTATTACCTACAGTGTTCAGCTTGATGTCATCTGCAAACTTATGAAAAATTGCCACTTAAACTACAAATGTGCTTTTGCTCTGCTGCATCTTTCAGGCTCATGGTGTGATTCTTGGGGTCCTGTGCAGGGCCTGGTGTTGGACTCAATGATCCCGATGGGTCCCTCCCAACCCAGCATATTCTATGGTCTCTTCCTCAGGAACTGTAACCTTTCTAGGTAAAACAGAGGGTCAGCCATGTTACACAAGGCCTAATCCTGTAAGAAAGGTTCCATTATTTTATCATACAATGGCCTCCAGACAACAAAGTTGTTCTCCTTTCTATGAAAACTTTGTGGGTTTGTCCTTATTTCCCCAAGAATGCTTCTCGTGCTAATAAAGGCTCACAGCACCACATTGCTGTTGAAGGCTGATATGGCCTAACTACACAATTGCTTCAGCATTTGTCTGTCACCTTTAAGCATGAAAAGGAAAATCCCACTCAGTGTGAGCATTTGCTACCCTGTTATTAAGGAGCAGAGTTCCCAGAGCAGAGAAGGAATCACTGCTCCGGCAGCAATTCCCACCAGAGTATGACTGCACAAGAGCAGTACTCTGACTCACACCCTGAGCTGTACTTCACTGGGGCTTTGGAAGGAGCAGGGTTGGTACTGGTGACAGTGACCCCACAAGAAGTTACATTTACAATGCACAGACACTCTTCACATTGCATCCTGTGCCTGGTACAGTGCAGCAAACCTTGGTCTGCATGTGGTCAGGATTCAGCAGCACATCAGCCCCACAAAGACTGACAGGAAACCCCACATCCACTGCACACTTTTCTCAGTTGGACATTAAAGAGACAATTTTAAACCCAGCATGAAGTTTCAGGACATAATAAACTTTTTTTTTCCCCCCCCTTTAGCTACTAGTTCCGCTTTGTTAAAACAAAGACAGGAGAAATTCACACCAATTTTCCAGTCAGTGTTACCAATTTCCATTGTGCATTTTATACACTTCTTTCTACAGAACTTTTCTCAATGACTTACAGATTAAGACACAGCAGTACTAGAAAAATAAGCAATATTTCCAAAACACAGGTTCTCATTTAAAGACAAGATGACTTTCTGCCTATCTCACAGGTTCTTTTTTAAAATGGATCACTTGCAGTGCAGCAGATTTTGCCAGGATTATTTGTCCATGTGTGAAGAGAAGGCAGTTCATCGAGTTGTAGCTGTCAGCTCTTACAATGGTCACCACAAGCATGCAGAATCCCAGCCACTGCCAATATTACCTACTGCAAAAAAACAAGCTTAGGGTCCCACAGAAAGATTTAATCTAGCCCAGGCTTTCACTTCTAGTGCCAACAGGTATCATGGGCATTATCACTTTTCCTTTCCTGTGAAAGACACTCACAAAGTAAGAGATGTTTTCTTAGGTGCCAACTCAGCAAGCAAACTGAGCTCTGGGGAACAAGGCAATCCTTCTACTCACACATCCCCACACTTACAACCAAAAGGTACTATGGATCTGTGCAGTGCATTCCAAAGCCTCCCACATTCACCCCAGTGACTCCAGAAACACCTCAACAAATGTTCTCAACTAAAACTTGTCTAAGTTTTCAGAGCAAGTATGGGAAGCAATTAAGTATATACAGCTCAAGAGACCTAAAAAGAACAGAGCTACCTGTCTTTCTGGTATTCTTTGGGAAAATTTACACTTGTAGTTAAGGTGCTGATAAGCCAAGGGAAGAGCACATTCCTTTGTTACTTCCACTGAGCTCCAAATACCACAGGCAAATCTTCAAATGGGTTGCCTGCCAGATTCCCACACACTCTCGTCATCATTATTTCATGTTTTCTCTATGAAAGTCATAGCTCAACAGGAGGATCTCTCTAATAGTTTTGTCTGACCCTGTCCTCTATGCAGTAAATAATCAAGTGTACTTTGCCATCAAATCTTGTTGAAGCACCGTCACCTTCACTACCAAATTTTGTTAAGTGGTGATTTTATAACAGCAGAGCACTCCTTCTCTCTTGTAAGTGAAGTGCTTTACTCCACCCATGACACTGACACACAAACACACACTGGTGCTCCTCAGCCCCCAGCGTATCTGTGCCAACACAACCTGCTCAGCATCACACAAGATTCTGTGACACAGCCAACAAAGAAAACCTCTTATGCCTCTGTTCCTCAAGCAAGGTCAAAACCACTACACAAAGGGCAAGTGTAACATGAAGAAGTCTTTTTTTCTAGAGTCCTGTAGTACTTCCACAAACTGTGCAGCTCTTCCAGAAGGACTGCAGGACCTAGTAATCTTAACACACATTTTGGTCTACACCCACACATTTTGGTCTTGGTAGATCAAATAAGAACATAGACTTTGGGTTGACAAGGGTTGGGTTTGTTTTGTGGAAGACATCACTGCAATATTTTTTTTTTTTTTATGGTTGTTGATCTTTATTTCTGCCATTTCTTGAGGCCAAGGTCTGTGCTCAGATCTGTGATATATGTGACAGTACTGGAGGATATAGAGACTTCCTTTCCTGGATCTCCAATTCAAACTTACTCTGTCTTGAATTTGGTGAGTTTTGGGTTTGGTATTTGGAGTTTTGAGTTTTTGGTTTGGTGAGTTTTCAGTATGTAGATTAACACCTATAATGCAGTTGAAGTTCAAGGCAATTTGGCACCTGTTTCATGAGCCCTTCCTTAGGAGATCACTTAGATCTTTAGTATACCCACGCAAGAAATTACACCTATCCCTTTTTAGCATCTATGCAGTTACAGTTAAGCTCTGAACTGTGCCTTTCCATGAGAATTACAAGAAGGAGAAAAAAAAAAAATACCTTGTATCCCAATTCAGGCAGTGCAGATGCATCCCAGTGACTAGGGCAGGTCTGATTTGGAATAGAAGAATCCCCTTGGCTGCTTGCAAACAGACAGAAAATGAAGTGTTAGTAATTCTAGTACTGCTCCAAACACTCAGATTTGGAGCATTCCCTTTGGCCAATTCCTGTATTTCAAAATTAAAGAAATAAATCACAAAGAAACTGGGAAAGAGCCTCAGTCCATAAGGTGGGCCCTGCATGCTGTCATTCAACCACCACAGGCCTCTTGCACTTGCTTTTTGAAGTAACAGCTATGGCCGAAGTACCTGAAGTAACGTGTACCCCAGGCAGCAGGTGATGCACCAAGACTACAGTTTGTGATACAGCTTCTGTTGCTCAGCCCCATGGATAGGCTTTCACCAGCAGCACCTGTGTTCTTTGTACAACCACTGCTGGCACTAGGAGCCATTCTGCCTTGTAATTATTTCTGAAATATGAAAAACCAACCTAAAGAGCACTTACCCTGTCTTTATCTTATGCACATCTTCAGAAGACACAAATTTTGGTCGCCTGCAGACCTGTCTTCGAGTTTTAAAAGCAGTGTTTGTCTGAGTCATTTCTTGAGGAGAAGAAAGAGCAAGAAAAAAAAATCATGAATAAGTCTACAAGATGGGGTCATCTTGTCATCATCAGTCATTCTTTAATGAAAATTGCATATTCACTGTCAGTTCTACTTGCTGAGAAATATTTGCACAAAGGCTGTATAAGATTCCTGTCTTTCCTGTAACTCTGTGATTGAACCTGTGCCTATCTGTGCACTATGCCTGTGCTTGCTCCCTCAAGCCACTCATGCTCTTTACTACAGCAGCACAAAGATGCCTAACTCATATTTTTTACCATCAACAGATCTACGGTTCATATGACTTTATGTGAAGACTATGATTTCTGGTCAGATGTGAGTCTGGGGAGGGTCAAGGAATAAGGTGGCAAGGTTACTTTTGTAAGGGCCAAATGATGGCCTCTGGGCCATCACAACTTCACTTCAAGTAAGGGAAACCGGTGGTGTCAGGAAAGGAAGTCATAGCTTCTAAAAGCTGGGAGACTTTGTAAGACTATAAAGCACTGCATAGTTGTAGATGAGAACCTTTAAAATTACTACCTTTAAAATTGAGTTCATATTGATGTTCGCCACCTGGGAAACGTACAACAGCACATGGATCTGCTTGATACAAATTCTCAATAATAGCAGAAGATGGTGAGGTCACACTGTTCTCTTCTTCCTTTGTGGGGAGAAGAGAAAAAAAGAAATAGAATGAGAAGTATGGCCAGGCCTAAACCCTGGATAACTAGCTGGAGTAGAGGGAAAGAAGAGCCAATAATAGGAGGATGAAGAATCTACCCAGAACTATGGTGGCCTGAGGCTGAGTACTGAATATTTTTAACATAAACACAAATACATAAATAGTAATGATGGACACACATCTATCCCGTTTATATTCCTGTAACAAGTTGTGCTGGTTCTGGCTGGGGTAGAGTTAAATTTCTTCCAAGTAGCTGGTAGTGGCTGTGTATTGGATTTGTGCTGTAACAGTGCTGATAACACAGGAATGTTTTAGTTATTATTTAGTTTAGGCATGCACAGAGCCAAGGATTCTGCTCCTCTCCCACCCCACTAGTGATGGGACTGGAGGGCACAAGGCATTGGGAGAATACACATCCAGAACAGCTGACCCCAACTGGCCACAGGGACATCTCAGACCATACAGTGTCACTCCAGCATATAAAGCTGGGGGGAGAAGGAAGGGGGAGACATTTGGAGTGATGGTGTTTATTTTCCCAAGTCACTGTGACCTGTGATGCAGCCCAGCTTTCCTGGGCTGAGCACCTGCCTGTCCAAAGGAAGTGGAAATGAATTCCTTGTTTTGCTTTGCTTGGGCACACACTCTTAGTTTATCTTTTAGTCTTTATCTCCTCTCATGAGCTTTCTCACTCTCTCCCTAGTCCCAGGGCAGGGGAGGGGGTGGGGCTGAGCTGCCACCGGGTGTGATCACTGCACTCCTCACCAATCCAGAGTTACTTTGGTTCAGGCTCAAAAGGAAGCAAAGGCCTAGGCCAAGAACTTTTCTAGTTCCAACCTGCTATCTGAAAACCCACGAAGAAACTGGGTGACATGCTGAGCATTGGTGTGTATGAGCTTGGAAACAAACACTGATGATGTAATTAATGCATGAATAGCAGGTGGTTCTTCCAAGACTAACTTGTCAAGGAAAAAAAAAAGTTGCAGGCATAAGGAGTCTCACTCTTACCTTTTACTTTGCTTGTGATTTAACTATGAGCCAACCACTTCATTCCACAGATAGGAAAACCTGAATGAGCTCCTTGCAAGCTCTTCCTGTTCCTGCTAAGGAGCAACTGCACAGCTGTGATCTCTCCTGGACCTGGGACACCTCTCAGGGTGAATCCTTGAGGCTGAATACTCTTTGAGGTTACTCTGAGTCTTTTAAACTGTGCTCTATCCAACACCTTTCCCTGTGCAATTTTCCAAGTCCCTGGATCACTGTGTTCTACCATTTGTGCTGCTATACTGTAAAACCATATGTGGTATATTCATCTGCCTTGGTGGAAGGTGAGATTCTATACAGATTTATTTTCCTGCATTTTTCAGATAGATTACTTTCTCATCAGAGGACTTGGACATACGTGGAAAAAGACTGAACTTGATCTGAGAGAGCAGAGCAACCCTTACATGTCTAAGGAAGCAGGGCAATGCTTAGAAAAGAGGCAACTACTTAGCATGTATCTTAAGGACAGTGTCTATGTGTTAAATCTCTGTAGGAGCCACAGACAACTCCAAAAGGGAGCTCTCTTCCCTCCAACCTGTCAGCATTTTATCATGTTTATTATGAACAGATACAGCTTCACTGCCTTAACCAATGTTGTAAAATTCAAGCACAAGGATTCACTTAATTAATCCTGTTGAGAAAAGGGGAAATGATGCAGAGAGGCTCCATATATTCCTGCAGAAGTGACTCAAAGCACAGGATGTGAACTCACCTGTTTTCCATATTCAATCCACTTGTCTTGGTTGTTCTTCCAGTACCAAATCCACTGTGTGGTCAGTACGAATGTTGGTTTTGTGACTGATGATGGTGTAGAGAGGCGTCGAACCAAAGAAGAAGAGCAGGTCATTGTCTGGAAATTTATGTTCCTACTTGGCAAGCTGTAAGGACAAACTCAGGTTTATTATAGTTAGCAGTGCATATTTTATCCTCTAATCCCCAGTTTAAGCTGGTGCCATTTTCTTTAATATAATGTAACCAAATTTAATTAGATCTGAAATGAGAGTATTTATTTCCCACAGCACATGGCAGCTCTGAAAACCATTTCCAAGCTTCAGAAGTGAACTCTGGCCTGTGATACACCAAATGCCACCTCAATTACATGTGGCAGTGCCAGCTTTACAGACAGTATCAGGCTCCAAGTACACTGTGACAAAAGGAACTTCTGTGATAACTAAGCATGGTTACAGTCTTTGTCAGTACAAAAGCAGAACATGCAAAGTCTGTGACTGAATTTGCCAGCAAACACCTGCAGCCTATCAACTTTGCTATTTTTCTGTGGTTACAAAGGATGCAATCACAGCAACCACAGCTGTGAGTTCTGTAAACTGCATTCATCACTGGAGCTACCTGGGCTCTTACTCCTGTGAAGCTTGAAAAGTTAACTCCCAGGCAGGAAGACTTTAATGGCAGCCTCCTCTTGGGAATATTGCTTGTGATCTACAGAAAACTGCAAATCAAAATAATCTGGTGCCTTAAGAGGCATGGGCCAAAACTAGAATACCATTTTGTGAATGGAATTGGGGTGTCCTATGAATCCAGGTGGCTTTGAGTGGGAATTTTTACAAAGGAGTTAAAAGAAAAACACACTCTTAAAATAGAAATAAAAAAGAGGAAAAAACAGATGGGTTGCTTACACAAAGGACATTTCATAAAATGTCTCTAGGCACATAATAGACCACTATTATTGTTATTGTTATATACTAGTTGTAGTATGAAAGAAATAGCCCTAGAGAAGGACCAGCTCTGAAATCTTGTCAAAAGGCCCAACTTTGTTACTGTAAATACACTGATTAATGATCTGAAATACTAGTAATTTCACTGTATTCCAGCGGCTTTTTACCTTTTACAGAGTTTTAAATGCAAGATACAGTTTTGTTATTTTCAGAAGACAAAACTGGAGTGGGATTTTCATGCAATCTCTCTTACTTTGCTTTTTCAAAAGGAAAATTTCTCATTTTTACATCCTCCCAGCTTCTAAGAAGCTCAGTAATCAGAAACTGAGAAGTCAGACATCTTTAGGAAGAAAACACAAGTTTTCCTACACAGGCTCAATTCACAATACTCCAAGCAAAGAGTACAGCATTACTACACCTGCTGTTCGTTGGGTCACAATATGCCTTTTCAATTTCCTCCATCATGGGAAGTTCATGCCAGTCCAACCCATCATGTATCTCCCATTTATATGGCAAACGGTAATGAACAGATTTGCATTTATCTGTAACAAAATCAGACATAGTCAAGAACTCTGCAGTCAATAACACAAAGAGCAAGACAAGAAAAAAACAGAATAGAACCAGCATCTTTCACATCTTGAGACTTTCTCTCCTGGGCTTTGGTATAAGCAGTGAAGACAGAGTGCTGAAAAGGGGAGTCTGTTTCTGCAGTCTTACCAAGAAAAACAACATATATATATATACATATATATATATATATATACACTGCCAAATGTATTTGAAAGACACCAGAACCTTCCCTTTGCTGAGACACAACACTGGTAGCTGGGAGAGCAGTGCCACAGATAGGAAGTGAATGTTATGTATCACACAACCATGTATCTCAGCTGTAAAAAGTCTAGTCTACACATCACTTAAACACTGATATATTTGGTTCTCTCTTCCTTAGTCCCTTAGAAATCACAGGGTGGTTGCCAAGGCCTGAAGGGTTTTCTTCTGACACTCCACATCCAAGTATGGACCAAACATCTTACAACTTTCTAGCCCACTGTGGCAAATAAAGCATGCTAATATTCCAACCGTTACTTGAGTTTAGTTATCTGGTGGCCACAGTATGGCTGGTTTGAGCCTGACCTTAACAGTTTTGCCCAGGTACACCATTCACATTACACAAGGTCTTTGTCAAGACCAAGAGGTCAGAGGAATAGCAGTACTTTAAAAACTGACTGGACAAGATCAGGGAAAGGAAATGTCATGGTACCTCCTCATAATAAAGGAAAAGAGCCAAACCTGGGAGTTAAATTACTGTTCAGAGACAGCTCCCAAATACAATTACTTATGTTCTTCCCTCAGACCTTTGTTCTGGCCTCCAGAAAGACAGTAGATTAGATTTATCTTGAGCTTAGCTGATACAACCACTGTGTTTTTTTAAGATGTTTTAATTTTAACACCTCAAATCACTTCTCAAAGGACTTAATGAGGGAGAATATGACTATTATCTGATGTACATAGGATAGATACACCAGGAATAAAGGGTGATATACATTTATGAGCTGTCAATGATGACAGCATAAAGTCAACTCATAACTTGATCTTCTAGCTACAGAAAGGGTAACACTACACAATTAAAGGGCTTTGCCACAGAAAGGTACCCAAAGCCTGCCCCCATCAAAAGGGCTGAAATAGACTGGATTATCCAGAGGAGAAAGGGTTTAAGTATGCCATCTGGCTTTTCTCTGATTATGTTTGTAATTCTGACTGTGTTTATTAATGACCTGGAAAGAAAATAAACTATTGAGAAGGCACAATTGTCACCACTGGCCCAAACCATTGAGCAGGAGTGCCCTGCAGACAACTCTTCAACATTACTTTTCATAAAGCTTACCCTTGTTTTTGCAGTACTTCCAGACATAGAATAAACAGATCTCATCACAGTTATCTTTTTTCTTGTCCTTTGAAGCTTCATCAGAGGAACTGTCCTTTTTACCTACAGAAAAGAACACAGCAGTCCATATTTGCTCTAAGAGGAAGATCCTGCATTTGGTACTTCATCCCAGAAATAACAAGGATTTGACTGCAGTAGCAAAGTCAAGCACTTTCAGAATCTGACTATTCCCCATACATCCCAAACACAAAAGTCAGGGCTTTGTGACTGAACAATAAACCCTGACACTGGAAGAAGTCTCAGTGAGGAAGGGCAAAGGCAGTGTCAGGAAGCTCAGAACAACACAGGGTGTGAATGACCATGGTTTTTGCAGTGAAGCTGGCTTTGTCTCCACACCAAGGGGACCAGAGGGTGCATAAACAGCAATGTCAGCTGAACAGACTGATTCGGGGTAGACATGTTTCTGACTCAGCCAGACAAACATGGGGGGAGTGAACACAGGGCTCAGCCCCATGCAGAGGTGCTAAACCTAAACAACCAAACAAAGAATTTTGAAAACAGCAACAAGCTTCAACTTCCCTAGGGACTGGCGACACCCAGTGAGTAAATATTGAGACAGTGAATGTATTATACAGATATGCAATGGGAATCCCATTATTATTGTGATTGAACTGTGCACTGTAATTGCTACGCTTTGTAAGTCAATGTCTGTATTTTGTTTCCAGTGGACTTTGCATCACTTTGCTACATCAGATATGTCACTGTACTGGACATGGCTAGAATAATATGTAATTTTCTTCACAGCAACCAATAAGATGCTGTTTTAGATTTTTGACCAAAACAAGCTGTTAACACACTCATGCCCCAGCTTCTACTGAACAGTGATATACATCAAGGCCTCAGTTTTTCATCCCACCCCCAGAGTTAATAGAATCAGGCTGTACAATAGCTTGGGAGGGGACACAAGTGGGCAAAGGACCCAAACTCGCCAAACATCCCACACTATATAACATTGTTGTGAATTCATGTTGTAAATATTGGCTTTTCACAATTATTCTGATAAATATATATTATATGCTTTCACTATATTCTTTTCTCTCTTAGCAAGTTATAGGCTTAGATAGGAATTCTGAATGGTAAGGATGTGTTTCATCCGGACAAGGCAAGACAATGGGAGGATCAAGCTGTGGAAAACAGGCTGTTATCAGCAGCAGGAAATGGAGAGCAAACTGTTATCAAAAAACTGGTACCAGGACGTGGGCAGCGGGGAAAGATAAGCTCAGCTGCCCTCAGAAGAAGGATGAGGGGCCCAGACCCTTATCAACAACTGACCATCTGCAGAAAAAAGGAAACCAGACTCCAAAAGAATGCTGACCAGCTAGAATAATGATGACCAGCAAAAAAATTATGCTGACCAGCAGAAAATGAGACTGTGCAAGAGCATGATCCAAGAAGGCGGAACCAGGGAGGGGACATGCTTGAATATGCATTAA